TTTTTTCGATACGGACACAGACCATCAGTAGTGACGTTTCACTCTACTAGACGGGCAATCAGGAGGCGTGGGGTATGAATCGTTCTCTCCCCATCAGGGGATACTGTTCCCGATGCTTCTGCATGCTGCTATTTCCGGTTTTTTTTTGTTCTTTTTTTTTTTTTTTTTTTTTTTTTTTTTTTTTTTTTTTTTTTTTTTTTTTTTTTTTCTGTTGTTTTTTCTGTGATGTGAATAGTCTCTCTCCTCACGTCACCAATAACGTCTCGTATTGCCTACGGGCAATATCTCTCGGAAAGTGACGACGACGGGACACTATTTGAACAGGCGGAATATCCCTCGGACTCCCATCATCGGATCTGCATACAAGCTTTCCTCCCGTCCATAACTCAAGGATACGGACCGAGCGGCGGTAGGCTTTCCAGCTGACAGGAGATCGGGCAAGTGGCAAAACGATAGTGCTTCGCAGGTGCCTTCGCCATGGATTATGAGGTGGATCAAGAACTGCTGGACCGAATGATCGATGACGAAGAAGACAGGGTATAACCCTCCTCGCCCTCGCCACCAGCATATCCTACTAGCCGTTGCGGTGAATCACGATACGCCACGCATGTGCCGCAAAGCTGCACGTTTTCCCCCGCTCTTCGCACTGATTTCACCTTGCACGCTAGGAATTAAGCTGCGAATGATGCTAGTCTTCTTTCCGTTTCAATTCTTGCGCTGGGCAGTTTGCAGACTAATCGAGCTGGGATCGATGGTGTTGGACAAGGAAGGAGCGGAGGAGAAGATGGGGGTAGCTATCGAGATGTCTGCCTATGTCCTGCTTGCTTTTGTTGCCTTGCTTGCTTTCTTCTCTTTCCTCGCCTTCTTACACCACCTGCAAGCTGTGCCATCGCCTACACCGCTCCCACTCCCGAAACACTTATGATTGAAAAGCAGGTGTTCCCTCTGGTGAAGCCGTGTACTTGTGGCTAGCGGCAGAAAAGCGCTTCAGGGATCGCCAYTTCCCTCCCTGCCTTGGCTGTTGTGGCAGATCTCCCATATTACGTGGAACTGCCACTAGGGATGCAGCAAGTTTTTTCATGATCTTCTTCCATACGTGTATRCGCGTCATGTTGTCTGTTGAGTGGCATGGTGAGGAGAGCGGAGACACTTCAGTTCGTGGGCCAGAAAGAGAAGGCATTCTTTTGTAAGAAGGGTGACGTTTGATGTGTAATCGATTTGTGTTTTCTCTTAAGTGTGAATCCCGGCCTGTGTATGGATAAATGACAAGAATCACAATGCATGTTTTTTGACGCCCCCAAGCATAGTGTCTATCCACAAATCATCCGTCAAGGATAGGAGAAAGGACTGGATACTACGATGGGTGGCGCCGATCTTTTTCAAATGCGGATTTTTGACGATCGCTCTGATGATATAATCACCACACACTACTTGAAAGATATACAGCCTCCTGACGAGTCGGTGAAACTCCGACGAAACAGTTTGTCACTGCCCCTTGTTTGTTGTCCTCTCTTCCCTCTATCCCCTCTCTCTGCGTATGGGTTAATGGGCAGTCTTATTTATAACTATATATATATATATATGATATATTTTGAAAAAGGGGGGTTACCCCGAGCATAGTATCTATCCACGAATCGACCAACAAGATCGACGAATGGGTACAATAATGGATGGCGCCGTTTGCTCTCTTGGGTTGTTTCGCGATCCTTGTATTGTTGCAGTTGCGCATTGCTTGGCTCATACTTTTCCTTCGGCGAGAATGGCCCCCCTCAAACATAGGATCTATCCATGAATCAACCCACGGGATCGGCGAGTGGATTGGTTACTATGATGAGTGACGTCGTTCGCTCTCAAATGTTGGAATAACGATCTTTGTATGGATTAGTACTATAATCAAGATACATGGCTTATATAGATATACGTATGATGTATTTTTGTTGATGAGCAAGGTTGCCTCCAGACATAATATCCACCCCCTGAATCGACCGACAAGATCGGCAAAAGGATTGGGTACTATGTTGGATGCCACCGTTCATACTCGATCTCATGTCTTGATGACGCAATAATCACGATGCATTGCTTATAGTATATTCGATGAGCATGATTGCCCCCAGACATAGTACCCATCCACGAATTGACCGACTGGAACGTCTTATGGATTGGATACTATGATGGATGGTACCGATTGCTCTCGATCTCTTGTATTGGATGCACGGAGCTGCGGGATAGATGTCGCGTTTCTACCCTAAGACTTCACGGGGTGTATTGTACCTCTTCGTGTTGCTTTCGATGCACACTTTCATCCTGGTCCACGCACGACAAAGGGTCTGTATGTATCGGTCCCCCAACCCACTGCTACAACCGCAATCATACCACCGACTTCGAATAGAACGGATCATTTCACGATTATTTTTTCCTAATGGAAGCTACTCACCTAGAGAGATACAGCCATCTGTTACCGATGGGCTAGATGGTCTGATAAAGGTATTTGTATGCTTGGGTGACGTATTAATTGCATGCACCGGATAGACGGAAGCTAATGATCTGACCTGCTGTCCCGATGAAGGTGTCGACATAGCACACCTGATTTGGATCATACAGGTGATGCCGAATGATTATGCCCGTGATAATGATCACAAATGCGCACTTGCGCCACGTGCCCGTCCACGTGGCTGTCCACCATGGACGAAGGCAACGGGACACAGACAACCCCACACATGGATATGAAAAAAACGACGCAATCTCCAGACACAGATATCCCGATGGATTCCTACGCCCCTACGTAAGTACCAAATATATTACGCGCACCCTACCGCTTGCACCCACACCCTCACATATGGATATAAAACCCACCGAAAAATAACGACGATCACAAGACTTTTCTGAGCACAAATTTCTCGATGAATTCCTATGCCCCCACGTCAAGACCAATTATATTATGCACACCCCGAGCATTTACACTCACAATCCTTCGCTCTGAGTTTTCAACTGAAAGATGTGTGTCCCCCCTCTGATCAATCCTACTCACCCCCCGAAGAAGACGTCTCTCTTGGCCTATCGGTTTGCGCACACGTGGGACAGGTCCTAGTCATGAGGCACGCATCAAAATCCTATGGATAGGTTGTGTGGCTTGAGAAGTCCTGTGCTCGCCTGAAGATGATAATGGGGGTGTGCCGATGTATTACTTCGGAGCTTTACTGCAATACGGTTCCCGTATCTTGCGACGACATGCTTGTCATGGAGTACTCTAACACACACACGGGGGGAACCCCCCGTCAGCGCTGTTGGCGGTGTGTCCCGCCAACCATACCCTTGGGAAGCAGGCAAAATGTCGCACAAGTAGTCGCCAAGGAAAACACGGTCAGGTAGGAAAATGCGAGTGCATGGGATTACCTTGTCCACGTAATCTGCAAAGAAAAGATTGGACTGGGTCGACATTCCGCCAACCTGTCCTGTTTCAGTTGGTATATAGTGTGTCGTGCGTATGTACATGTTTGTTTGTCTGTGTGTTGTTTTTGTTGCATTCTCGTTTGCTGCTGCAGATTCCGCCAAAGGAATTCTTCCCAGGTGGATGGCGGGACGAACTCACACGTAAGTACGAGTGGTTGAAGGCCCAGCAAACCGGCTCAAGCGCTCATTGCCACGCTGAAGCCCGAGATCCTGGACGCAATGAAGAGAATGGTTGAGACGGGGGATTTTCCGAATTTCTTCCGCATGATTGGATTTAGTGATATTGCTAACCTTGTGTGTGTCTGGGATCAGGGGAAAGATGCTTTTGTAGCCAAGCTCCTGGACAATGCCGCAAGACTGGAGGTAAGGAAGACGGAGTATGAAAAAGAATGCATGGAACTGCCTGCCAGAACGCCAAAAGTTAAACAGATGTTTCTTAAGATTTGGGAACTGGATCACTCGCATCTGCAGGGGCAGGCTGCCGAAACACCTGCGTTTGGCTGCACAATCGTCGGAGCTCTTGCCCTAGACGACGAGGAGATGGCGGAACTAAACGCAGCCATAGCCGCAGTAACCGCTACTGCCAGCTGCACCCCGGAAAAGGCCTCATCCTCCAAAGGTAGGCAGTATACTGCGTTTGCACCACTTCCATCCTCACACTGGGTTGAGCACACGAGCACTGGGTTCATGCATGCGCTTTGGAAACTCGATACCTTCAACCATTTTGCACCATTCTCAGTAAAAACCCTCATCTTTCTCACCAACCTAACCAACGAGGAAGTTGCCACGTGTAAAGCAAATGCAATGACTGGCGCACTCCCGTATTGCCCCCAGGGAAGAAAACTTTCAACCCGACTCTCCTCACATTTCCCCTAATGTCAGCCCTCGACCACACGAAATGTGAGTACTTCAGTCCGGTGATGTGGCAGAAGAAGGTTAAAACTGCCCCGAAGATTGACCTCAAGGGTCTCAGGAAGAGTTGGAATGTCGGACGACCTTACCTGAGATGCAGATGCGCGACGAAGAGGAAGAAGGACTGCGGAACGGAACCGATTTGGATGGACCATGCGATTTGGTATCTGCTAGCGCACCCGGACATCCTATTCCCCAACATCGCCTCCGTCAAGGTAAGGACCTCTACCTTCATCCACTTTTTGCGAGTATCGTGGAAACCCGCCGCAGTGGAGGCCTGCCTCACCTTCATGTTCATTCGGGAAATCATGACCGAGGTAATCTCCGCACTTGAGAAAGATCTATCCCTCACCTTTGAATCCGTTATTTGCAAGGAGAAGTGCAAAAACAATACCCCTCTAACCATCGGCAGGGTATTGCTCCCCACAAGGACCACTGGCAATCCGAGGGTCAGAACCAGGGGCGCCCGATACGAACAAGGGAACGCCCGGAAAAGACAGCGGAACAACCCACCTGTAGTCGTCTCTCCCCGACAATGGGTGCTTCCCTTTGAGCCCAGGGAGAGGGCGAATGCGGCGCAGCAAATAAACCCCCCCAGGGACCCCGCGCACCACGTGGCTCCCGCAGACCAGCCGGGATCACAAGACCGATTGGGGTGCATGCGTCCACCGGAGGAGCAACTCAGAGATAAGGGGCTACACAACATGGTGATAGGAGGGCAAAACGCTAGGGGCAGGAGCAGCTCACGATTGCTTGCCTCGCAGGCAGGGTCGGCGATCTCCACGGCGGAATCCGCAAGAAATAATGGACTACGGAAGAACGGGTCGTCCAGCGGAAGCAAAAAGGGAAGGAGGGGCTGTATCGGCACTCCTTGACGAACACACACAGAGATTTGAAACCCCCACGTGATTGACGCCCTGGTGGGTTCATCCATTCGTCACTACTCAATGGATTTTTTCTAATTCCTCTTTCCTTATTATGTTTCCTTCCCCTTCTTCTTTCTTCCCTCTCGTTTCTAAGTTTCCGTTTTGTGCTTCTATCCATGAACGTGATATATATCTGTATCTATAGACAATACAGGACAGAGGAAGATCCTCCAGCCGCTCTCTCTCTCCCTTCTCCCTTCCCCCCTCGTCATACATACTAGGAGTTATCCCATCTGATAACGAACCCCCCCGTCTATGAGTTGCCGTGCACTATGCAGGATGAGAGCTTCGACCTGGAAGGAGGAGGCAGCATGATCGTGCTCCCTTCAGGAAGATCCGCATGGAGAAGGAAGGAGCGGGAGCAGGACCAATTCGTGCATGTAAGATACACGAGCAGGCTTATGGAGGCGATTCCTCTGAGGAGTATGGTACTGGAGGCGCTCAGGCAGGTGATGGGGGAGAGATCGGCGGATTGGCTTGAAGACGTGATCATCGGATGGAGGTATGACGAAGCCTTGGGAACCAAGATTTGCAAGCCGGCGGCGGTGTTCAGGAAATTTAAGACGGGCGAATGGGAGGCAGGATATATACCTGAGTTCTGCCAATGCGGCGCAAGGAGGCATGCCGAGTTCCTCAACGCTGCCACCATAAAGATGCTCCCAGAGGAAGGTACCTCACACGTCGTCACCAATGACACCGGCATTACAAATAATGGCCAGTTGCAGCTCATGCTCAATGCAGGTCTGAACCACATCCCACTCAGGGCACTCGATGAGGAGTTTGCACTGGACGAAGTCGAGGTGGCGCTGGATAAGATACTGACCACACGGAGATGCGATGAGGAGTTGTCCTTGGGGGAGGAGAGATGGGTCAAGACGTTGGTTCGAGAGAATGCGAAGAAACGCGTCAAGAGCTTTCGGACAAAGCATATGCATATTACAAGCGAGCCGATTAACAGCACGGCAGTGAGAAGCGAGATCGACTGGCTGACCAGTCGATATTTGGGTTGTCCGACGGACAAAGCGCCACACACCCCCACGTTCGTGTGCATCAACTTCATCAGGAAACTAGCATTGCAGAGGCTCTCGGGGCCGGACTTCATACCGCTCCCAGATTCGCCGGAGCAGGTGGTGGCAAGGCTGGTACAAGAAGCGGCAGCCTTCACTCACGAAGGGCACGAGGCACTTCCGCTCCCACACCTCATGACGGTGTACAAGGCGCACAAGCAAGCATTCTGATGGATAACGAACTCTGCAGGATCGGTACTCTCCCCGGTGGCGAACATCTGTGATAGACTGTTGAAGCTCCTAGCTCAGGATGCTCAGGCCCTCTGCACTAGCAGGGCAGAAGAGGTGCATGCCGAACAGGGGGTGAAACCCAACTTCTGGTGGGCAATCTCCTCGATCGGGGAATTCGTCGCCAACCTCCCGCAACGCATCTACTCCGTCTTCACAGGGGATATCACCAGGTGTTTCGAGACAATACCCACGGACGGATCGAAAGACGGCCTGCTGGAGGCAATCAAATTCTTCGTTCGCTGCGCCATGGAATGGAGAAGGGTGAGAACAGCCAGAGATGTGATTGCGATCAGAGTCGCAGCCAACAACACGCTACACTCTTACTAGGTGAATGGTGATCAGGACAGGGATAATGAGAGGCTGTACTTCGACGAGCAGGGGATCATCGACGTCTGTGAATGGCTCATCTCCAACGGAGTGGTACAGATGGGAAACAGGGTCTGGAAACAGGTCCTCGGGATTCCCATGGGTCTTGCCTATTCTCCCATCTTCTGTGACGTGTATTTCTTTAAGTATGAATACGGACTAATCTCTCGCCTAGTCGAATTGCAGGATTGGGTCGCGGTTGAGTGTTTCCAAGACACCTATAGATACATAGACGATCTGTGTTCTCTAAACAACACGATCATTGCTGAGCTCCTCAAGGACGATGCACACGGCCAGAACCCAGGTCACAAGATCTACCCGCACAAATTCATTGAAGTAAAGGATACGACCGAGGTCGTAATCGATGGGCATGGTAGGGCTGCTAACTTTCTCAACCTCTCACTGACGGTCTTGTCTTCTATGAATGGCACGTACTTTACCTCGAAACACGATAAGAAGAAGGGACTCTCATTCTCCCCCGTAAGATTCATGAAATTCAGATCCAATCATTCCATTGCGCAGTCGCTGCAAATCCTAACTGCTCAGACTGTCTTGACCCTCATCATTTGTTCCGATGAGCAGGAAGCCGCTCTGGAGATCAATAACTTGGTACAAACCATGGTTTCAAACGGGTTCGGAAGGAGGGAATGCTGGAAGGTGGTCGATAGGGTATTTCACAACAAACAGAAGTACCAGCTGGGAGGATGGTTGACGAAATGGTGAAAGCTAACCTGGTTACCAGGTTTGGCATGTACTAATCTGTGTTTTGTGGTGTCTGTGAGTGTGTGTGGAGACCGGGGGGCTACGGGCCGGAAGGGCCCGATGCCTCCCTGCATCCAGCCTTTCGGCCTGTGGCCCACCTTCCGGTGGGACAGGGGCGGGGCACACACACACACACACACACACACACACACACACACACACATATACATAGCAGAGAGACGAGGAGCAAGGACTGTTGAAAAGAAAGGGAGCGGATTCATCAAGAACAAGGGGCAGGCGGTAATAACAGATAAAGCCGGACGAAGCAACTGATAAATGGGTAAGAGACGAGATACTCTGATGCGGAGCAATAACCACTTCGTATACCACAGGGCGATGTACCCCGATCGCCATACGAGCCTGTCCCGAGCTTATTAACAACTCGGGATGTCCGCGATGCGCGGCAATTATGGGCCAGAAGAAGACTTACAACTCGTAATAAGCCCGAGCCCGATTATGCGCACAACCCATGCGCACAATAAAACGAACAACGGAAACGTGCGTGGGACGATTGATTCTTGAATGGCTTCCTCTCTTCCTCTCCCTCTACCCCTCCCATTTTTTATTTTTTTTTTTTATTTTTTTTTTTATTTTTTTTTTTTTTTTCCTTTTCTTTCGCTCCTTTGTTTTCACGTATACAAATCTCCAAAAGTGACGTTTCGTGCAACTGGGCAGATAATCAAAAATCACTCCCCTCTTTCCTTTTTTCCTTTTTTCTCATTTTATTATTTTTTTCTTTTCCTTTTTTTTCTTTTTTCTTTCCTTTTTTCTCGTCTTTCTTCACTTTTTTTCGATACGGACACAGACCATCAGTAGTGACGTTTCACTCTACTAGACGGGCAATCAGGAGGCGTGGGGTATGAATCGTTCTCTCCCCATCAGGGGATACTGTTCCCGATGCTTCTGCATGCTGCTATTTCCGGTTTTTTTTTGTTCTTTTTTTTTTTTTTTTTTTTTTTTTTTTTTTTTTTTTTTTTTTTTTTTTTTTTTTTTCTGTTGTTTTTTCTGTGATGTGAATAGTCTCTCTCCTCACGTCACCAATAACGTCTCGTATTGCCTACGGGCAATATCTCTCGGAAAGTGACGACGACGGGACACTATTTGAACAGGCGGAATATCCCTCGGACTCCCATCATCGGATCTGCATACAAGCTTTCCTCCCGTCCATAACTCAAGGATACGGACCGAGCGGCGGTAGGCTTTCCAGCTGACAGGAGATCGGGCAAGTGGCAAAACGATAGTGCTTCGCAGGTGCCTTCGCCATGGATTATGAGGTGGATCAAGAACTGCTGGACCGAATGATCGATGACGAAGAAGACAGGGTATAACCCTCCTCGCCCTCGCCACCAGCATATCCTACTAGCCGTTGCGGTGAATCACGATACGCCACGCATGTGCCGCAAAGCTGCACGTTTTCCCCCGCTCTTCGCACTGATTTCACCTTGCACGCTAGGAATTAAGCTGCGAATGATGCTAGTCTTCTTTCCGTTTCAATTCTTGCGCTGGGCAGTTTGCAGACTAATCGAGCTGGGATCGATGGTGTTGGACAAGGAAGGAGCGGAGGAGAAGATGGGGGTAGCTATCGAGATGTCTGCCTATGTCCTGCTTGCTTTTGTTGCCTTGCTTGCTTTCTTCTCTTTCCTCGCCTTCTTACACCACCTGCAAGCTGTGCCATCGCCTACACCGCTCCCACTCCCGAAACACTTATGATTGAAAAGCAGGTGTTCCCTCTGGTGAAGCCGTGTACTTGTGGCTAGCGGCAGAAAAGCGCTTCAGGGATCGCCAYTTCCCTCCCTGCCTTGGCTGTTGTGGCAGATCTCCCATATTACGTGGAACTGCCACTAGGGATGCAGCAAGTTTTTTCATGATCTTCTTCCATACGTGTATRCGCGTCATGTTGTCTGTTGAGTGGCATGGTGAGGAGAGCGGAGACACTTCAGTTCGTGGGCCAGAAAGAGAAGGCATTCTTTTGTAAGAAGGGTGACGTTTGATGTGTAATCGATTTGTGTTTTCTCTTAAGTGTGAATCCCGGCCTGTGTATGGATAAATGACAAGAATCACAATGCATGTTTTTTGACGCCCCCAAGCATAGTGTCTATCCACAAATCATCCGTCAAGGATAGGAGAAAGGACTGGATACTACGATGGGTGGCGCCGATCTTTTTCAAATGCGGATTTTTGACGATCGCTCTGATGATATAATCACCACACACTACTTGAAAGATATACAGCCTCCTGACGAGTCGGTGAAACTCCGACGAAACAGTTTGTCACTGCCCCTTGTTTGTTGTCCTCTCTTCCCTCTATCCCCTCTCTCTGCGTATGGGTTAATGGGCAGTCTTATTTATAACTATATATATATATATATGATATATTTTGAAAAAGGGGGGTTACCCCGAGCATAGTATCTATCCACGAATCGACCAACAAGATCGACGAATGGGTACAATAATGGATGGCGCCGTTTGCTCTCTTGGGTTGTTTCGCGATCCTTGTATTGTTGCAGTTGCGCATTGCTTGGCTCATACTTTTCCTTCGGCGAGAATGGCCCCCCTCAAACATAGGATCTATCCATGAATCAACCCACGGGATCGGCGAGTGGATTGGTTACTATGATGAGTGACGTCGTTCGCTCTCAAATGTTGGAATAACGATCTTTGTATGGATTAGTACTATAATCAAGATACATGGCTTATATAGATATACGTATGATGTATTTTTGTTGATGAGCAAGGTTGCCTCCAGACATAATATCCACCCCCTGAATCGACCGACAAGATCGGCAAAAGGATTGGGTACTATGTTGGATGCCACCGTTCATACTCGATCTCATGTCTTGATGACGCAATAATCACGATGCATTGCTTATAGTATATTCGATGAGCATGATTGCCCCCAGACATAGTACCCATCCACGAATTGACCGACTGGAACGTCTTATGGATTGGATACTATGATGGATGGTACCGATTGCTCTCGATCTCTTGTATTGGATGCACGGAGCTGCGGGATAGATGTCGCGTTTCTACCCTAAGACTTCACGGGGTGTATTGTACCTCTTCGTGTTGCTTTCGATGCACACTTTCATCCTGGTCCACGCACGACAAAGGGTCTGTATGTATCGGTCCCCCAACCCACTGCTACAACCGCAATCATACCACCGACTTCGAATAGAACGGATCATTTCACGATTATTTTTTCCTAATGGAAGCTACTCACCTAGAGAGATACAGCCATCTGTTACCGATGGGCTAGATGGTCTGATAAAGGTATTTGTATGCTTGGGTGACGTATTAATTGCATGCACCGGATAGACGGAAGCTAATGATCTGACCTGCTGTCCCGATGAAGGTGTCGACATAGCACACCTGATTTGGATCATACAGGTGATGCCGAATGATTATGCCCGTGATAATGATCACAAATGCGCACTTGCGCCACGTGCCCGTCCACGTGGCTGTCCACCATGGACGAAGCAACGGGACACAGACTACCCTACACATGGATATGAAAAAAACAACGCAATCTCCAGACACAGATATCTCGATGGATTCCTACGCCCCTACGTAAGTACCAAATATATTACGCGCACCCTACCGCTTGTACCCACACCCTCACATATGGATATAAAACCCACCAAAAAATAACGACGATCACAAGACTTTTCTGAGCACGAATTTCTCGATAAATTCTTATGCCCCCACGTAAAGACCGATTATATTATGCACACCCAAGCATTTACACTCACAATCCTTCGCTCTGAGTTTTCAACTGAAAGATGTATGTCCCCCCTCTGATCAATCCTACTCACCCCCCGAAGAAGACGTCTCTCTTGGCCTATTGGTTTGCACACACGTGGGACAGGTCCTAGTCATGAGGCACGCATTAG